CCTCTCTCTCTCTCTCTCTCTCCTCCTCCTCCTTCGCTATATTTTAATTCCCATCTCCCATTTTAAATAAGTCTAACGTAGTTCAGGCCCAAAGGAGACTTTATCATCTCCTACCACCCGGAAATTAAGTCCCTTTTCATTGCGACAGGGGGCAGCGGCCATGGATACAAATTCCTCCCTGTCCTCGGCGACAAGATCGTGGACGCCATGCAGGGCATCCTGGACTCCGACCTTGCTCGTTTGTGGGCTTGGACGGATAATCCGGTCACCACCCCTGCCGGTGGTCTCGGAGTGGTGTGGACTGAAGACGGCAGCCGGTCCGGCGCCAGGGGCATGCTGTTGGTCGAGGAACTGGAGAAGAGCACCATTAGCAACTGCCCCAGCACCAGCACCAGCACCAGCCCCAGCAACGGCCCCAGCAACAGTACCAACGATGGTGACGTGAAGGTGATAAGCAGGTTGTAGGCCTGCATAAGCTTGTTATCTGCATGCAGGCTACATACAGATTGGGACTGTCCGACTTCGCTGTGTCTTGTGCTTCCTTGCTGCGTGATACGAACGATCTGCAGGAACCGTTAATTTATCAACGACTTTTTTTCTCCAGCTAACTAACTGACTAACAAAGTAACTAACTAATATTTACTTATTCGACCTACTCCGTACCTCCCTACGGCTTCAGCTGAGTTGTCGGAGCGACCTATCTTTTTTCCTTCCCCCGGCCACCAGGTCCAGCGCAGGTCTTGTCTCGAGCATGAAACGAAACATGCGTCAAACATTAATATAACTATCTCCAGCCTCTTATTGCTTTTCATGTGATATTACAAATTTACAATCAAGTTGATAGACGATGAATAATAATAATAATACAGAAGAATGCATGACTGTCAATACTTCAAATTGAGTAGTTTAGCTATTGTAAGTACGTACGTAGGAAGAAAACCGCCCCATGCCACGGCATCTCTCGAGACAATCTAAGACGATAGCAGAAGAAGCTGCTTGAGCCTCAGGAAAAGTAAAAGAAAACAAGAGGAAAAAAAAAGGAACTTACTCCTCCCTCGCGTGAAGACGCTTCCTTTCGTTTCGTTTCCTGCTCCCATTTGCTCGCTCTCCCCAGGGTTGACCTTTACACCCCTGGTCCTGATCCGTCTCCGTCTCCCCGTCTCCCCTTGCCCCTACCACCCGTAAACTTTTGTGCTTAAGAGAATAAAGGGCCGCAAAGCAAGTTAAAGACACACGAACGCACAGCAGGAAAAGCAGTAAAGGTTAAAAAAAAAAGGCAGGTTGAACGTTTGTTGAATTCTGAATACGAGGACCGGGGTGGGCTTCTTTTTTGGAACAGCCACTTTGATCAACTTATTTTCTTCCTGTCCTGTAGAATTTTTTTTGTTTTTCTGCTTGCGTACTGGTGAAATGCAGTTGATGGAGTAAGACGTTTCACTGTTCCACATGCAATCACTTAAGTGTGGTGATGTGTTGCGAATCCCCCAGAGTAATAAATATGGGGGGAGGGGAGACGAGAGCGTAGTTGGTCAACATAGATAAAACGACCCCACGAAGGAGATAGCTGGTGGTTGCGTGAGAAAAAGGGAGAGGGAAAAATAAAAAGGAGGCATTGACCGGCACCGGCACCTTAATGCACCCATTTGGTAGAAACCGTGAGAAAACAAAGTAAAGTTGAGAAAAATTGTGTAAAGGAGAAAATAAAAGGGACCTTCCATCTCTAAAAAAAAGGCAGAGAGGTTAAAAAGGTGTGTTGATGTCCAGTTTAAGTCGTTTTTGTTGTGTTAGTCGTTGCCCATTAGGAGGCATTAAAAAAGTGATTTGAGTTGCGTTCTCTTTTTTGAGGGGGATATCCGCAAATAAACAAACCGAGTGTCAGGTCGCTAAAACGCCGTGTAAATGCAATGAGTAGTAAGAGAGGGAAAAAAGGGAAAAAAATGACAAGGGCAAGGAGTAGCAAGTTGTGCGTTTGGAGGTGGATGGATGGGATAGATGGCATCATCATTCTGTTTCCACTGCATGCACCGTAACCATGACCTTTGCTTTTTTTTGGAGATGAACAAGGTATGAAACTGTTAATACAAGGGCAGCCGCTTGGTTGGGGCGTCAACAACGTGACTCAGACTTTTCTGAAATCTATTGGAAAGATGTTAGATAAGAAGATACACAAGAGGCAATGAATGGTAGTCAACATACCAGTCAAGACGGGATATATCATCTCGAAAGCTTGATATATCTCTTCCCTAACCTTGGCGCCAGTGAGTACAATCTTACCGCTGACGAAGATGAGCAGGACGATCTTCGGCTTCATCATACGATAGATCAAGCCCGGGAACAGCTCTGGTTCATAAGAGCTGAAGTTGTGATGTCGGCTGGCCAAGCCTTCCAGACGGATCGGGAACTTGATGTCGCATGACCCGACGATGTTCTGGATCTTAAAGTCCGTGAACTTGGCATTGAACCCGAGTTTCTGGATAATACGAGCGTATTTCCGAGACGCGAGCTTCGAGTCGTCCTCCGACTTTGCGCCGGTGACGACCATCTTGCCTGATGCGAAGATCAGGGCAGTAGTCTTGGGCTCTCGAATACGCATGATCACGGCGGCAAAACGCTGTTTCCGTCAGCAAACCCTTGCGCTTCATTCTCAAACCACAAATAATATATATATATATATATCTACTTGTGTGTGCGAAAAGGAAAAAAAAGTAAACAAGCGACTTCGCCAGCACCAACCTTTGGATTGTACTCCGCGTTTCTGGCGTGGAGGGCGATGGTCTTGAGATCCAGTCGGCAATCAAGGTTGACGGTAGCAACGATGTTTCTTCAGAATGATAATTCTTGCTTCAGCATTCTGGTGGGCCAGAAGGGCAAAAATCCACGGGGAGGGTGGTGGGTGTAGACTCGATTGTATACGACACCACCCTCCCTTGCGGATACGTTCCAAAGAGCAGAAGATCATAATGCATAAGAAAACAAGGGAAAAATTTTACTCACTGCAACGTTGGTACTATGCCACTCACGCCGGGGCCAGCTCCGGGTGTCGCAACGGGGGTCGCAGGCGTACCACCGCCAGGACCGCTGCCGTTAACATGCTGAGGCTGATGAGGCTGCTGGGCGCCGTTGGCCTCTTTCTCAGAGGAAGATGGAGGAGTCAGTTCGCCAGCACCACCTGGGAACGACAACGAGGCGGGCGAGGTGAACGCCTTGGCCTGCTGCGCAGTTGCAGGATGGGTCGTCAAGGAATCCATGATTGCGGTCTCCGCTGACGTTACAAAGTTATATCGAGATCCTCGATAACTGTCTGCTTTGGGTATGGCTTGGAAGTTGTTTTGATGTTGTTGTTTTGGTAAGCAACAATGACAGTCAGGTGACCAAGTTGATCTATTCAACCTAGGCAACTGCAATAGATTAGTCAGCATAAGACCACTCTGCAAAAGACAGCAACATCAACATCAACAGCAGCAACAGCAACAATAGGAACAGCAAGGCGGCCAACAGAGGCCAGACAGCGATGTGTTTTGTTGCTGGTGAGTGAGGGAGGAATGAGAGGGCTCTTGCGAGTGGTGAAAATGGGCCTACCGTAAAATGAGAGACTTGAGGGGTGATGGGAGATGAACAAATGAATGCCTCCCCCAGAAGATGATGATATGAAGACTACCACCCGAACTGGCGCAAGTCAGCGATGCCATGGTGAGATAGATGATGGAGAAGAGAAGAAGACGAAGCCAAGATAAAACAGAGGCGAAGATGGAGCATCAAACATGGAGCATCAACATGAACATCAAATAAACTAACTACCTTTTGGATACGCAAGAGAGTACGGGAAGATCTAGTATATTAGTAAGATAAGAGAGAGTGTGTGGTAAAGGAGCGGTGGGCAGGTCGGAGCCGCAGCGCAGGACGCGGAAAAAGAGAGTAGCGGCGGGAGAGAGAGAGAGAGAGAGCGCGCGCGAGTCGCTGAGATAAGCAGGCAGTGCCAAGAAGGAGATGAGGCTTCTGGTTGGTGGGCTTGAGGGGGCTTTTCTTCTTCTTCTTCCGTCGCTGAGTCTCTCAGTCCGTTTCGGGGTTCGAGCAAGAAAGTGTCGCGAGCAGGAGAGCGAAAAAGCGGGCAGAAAAAGAGGAAGAGGCTGTCCCTTTTATACTTCTTGCCTGCCGCCCTCCGCCAGCGCCTCGGCCCACGCACTCCCCCCGCTTAGCGCCACGCACGCCCCTTAAAAATTGCTTTTGAAGGCGTCATGGGTGGGGCTCTTGCCTAAAGAGGACTAGCGTCTGGCCAATCACTGCCGATAGCCTGCGTCTTGGCGCGCTGCTTCGCCTGCCTTGCCACCCCTTTTTTCGCTGCTGCTCGTTGCTTCTTTTACTTCACTCCTACTAGACTACTAGAGTGACAAAGAAGAGGACAGCTAGGCAAGAAGAAGCAGAAGAAGAAAAAGAAGCAGTGACAGCCAGTGGTTGCTGTGCCTGGCGGAGTCCTCGCGTCGTCGTAGCGGGCGCGGCGGCAGTGGCAGTTGCTGAGTGATAGGCAGCAGCCGATCGCAGTGAAAGCGCGCGCAGCAGTGGGTGAGTGAGTTGACTGGCGAGTGATGAGTAGCTGTCCACTATATCCTCATCCAGCAGGCAGCAGTGAAGAGACTAGCCAGGTTCAGAACCAGGCTATGTGGTTGCCCGAGGACAGACTCGCTTTGTGAGACCGTGGACGCGTAAAGCGAACGCAGGACGCGCTGCGCCGTGACTGTGACGGGCCAAGCAGGTACTTACTCCATCTACGGAGTACACTCTGCGGTACGTACCTGTGGTTGACTTTGCTTTCTTTTCGCCAAAGCCAAATATTATTATTACGTGGAAGTTAGAAGCAAAGAAAAAAAAAGGGAAAAAGGATGTTTTGAAGGGGAAGGGGGGGCTGCTTACATAAGGTAAAAGTGAAACTTGGGCCGAGGGATGAAGCGCTGGTCACGGGATCGCCTCTTCCAGACAAGGCAAGTTAAGCGATGACCATCACCTGACCGCTGACTGACTGGCTGCCTCGGCTTGCCTCGGCTTAACTTCCCTGCCGAAGGTTCCGCCCAGCAGCTTCTTTTCTTCTTCTCTTTTCGGAAGATTACCTCCTACGCCTTCAAAGACGGAGCATCGTGCCGACGACCGCTGTTTTGAGCCACGCAGTTCGACGAAACCACGCCGGCCTGGGATAGCTTCTTTTTTTTTGGTGTGTGTGTGTGTTTGAATAGATACAGGATCAGGACAAAGGAGACCCTCTGACGAGCGAGCTCAGCAATGGCCTCCCGGTCTGCGGTGCTGCCGTTCGCCTTTGCGCGCAGGGAAGCTTGCTGCGCCGCCCCCGCATGGAGGAGGGCTACCCCCAACAGAGCTGCTGCTGCTGTTAGTGGGCTCTCACAATACTCGACGAGTGCTCCGGTGAGGAGGAGGGCGGTGCAGAGATGCATTGCGGGACAAAAGACAGGGTTGGCGAGGTTCTCAGGCCAGCAGCAGAGGTCCTTCTCGCATGCTCCAGTCAAAAGGGATGAGGAGCAGGAGTCCCGGTTCCGGCCTGAGGATATCCAGAGGGAGTCGGATGAGGTAGACGTCTGCATCGTCGGTGGAGGTGAGTCAATGGACTGACACGATGGATATATATATAAATGTATGAGTGGGAAATTGCTAACAAGTGAAAACGTAGGTCCTGCCGGCCTATGTGCTGCCATCCAGCTAAAAAAGCTGGCGAACGAAGCTGGAAATGAAGACTTCCGTGTACTGCTGCTGGAGAAGGCTGGTGAGATCGGAGACCACATTGTGTCTGGAAACGTCCTACAGCCCACGGCCATCAACGAGTTGCTACCGGACTGGCTGGCCGAAGACAACCCGAACCGCTTCGAGCACACCACCCCAGTGACGACAGACAAGATGCGGTTCCTGACCGAAAAATACGCCATCCCCATCCCGGCGCCTCCGCAGATGAACAACCATGGCAACTACATCCTCTCTCTCAGCCAGTTGTGCAAGTGGCTTGGAGAACGCGCAGAGGAGCTGGGCGTGGAGGTATACCCCGGATTCGCCGCTAGCGAGGTTCTCTACAATGCCGACGGATCCGTCAAGGGAGTCGCCACAAACGACGTAGGCATCGGTCGAAACGGTAAACCGAAGGAGTCGTTTGAGAGAGGGATGGAGTTCCATGCTCGCGTGACTCTGCTCGGCGAGGGTTGCCACGGCTCCCTGACGAAGAAAGTGATGAAGAAATTCGACCTGCGACGGGACTGTCAGCCACAGACATACGGCATTGGTATCAAGGAGGTATGGGAGGTCCAGCCAGAGAAGTTCCGCAAGGGTGAGGTTACGCACACAATGGGCTACCCGCTCCCCAGAGACACCTACGGCGGCTCGTTCATGTACCATTTCGGTGACAACATGGTCTCTGTGGGTCTAACCGTCGGGTTGGACTACCCTAACCCCTGGCTATCGCCCTACAACGAGTTCCAGAAACTAAAGCAGCACCCTCTATTCCGAAGCGTGCTAGAAGGCGGCCAGTGCATCGCCTATGCTGGCCGAGCGCTCATCGAAGGCGGCTTCCAGTCAATCCCCAAATGTGCCTTTCCCGGCGGCGCCCTTATCGGAGATAGCGCAGGATTCATGAACGTGCCCAAGGTTAAGGGAACTCATACCTCCATGCTCTCGGGCATGCTCGCCGCAAAGGCCACATACTCTGCCCTATCTGGCAATTCGTCAGATGGCACCATCTTCCTGTACGAGTACGAAGATGCTTTGCGCTCCTCGACCATCTGGTCCGAACTCAAGGAGGTACGCAACATGCGTCCATCCTTCAATACTTCACTGGGAGTCTACGGCGGAATCATGTACAGTGGTCTAGAAGCCTATATCCTCCGCGGCCGCGTTCCCTGGACACTCAAACACCACAGCACCGATTCCGCTGCCACCAAACCTGCGAGCGAGTGCAAGAAGATCGAGTATCCAAAGCCAGACGGCGAAGTCACCTTCGACATCCTCACCAGCGTGAGCCGGACAGGCACCAATCACGAGGAAGACCAGCCCGTCCACCTCCAGGTCGCTGACTGGGAGAAGCACACGGCCGACGCTTGGCCGAAGTGGCAGGGTGTTGAGAACCGCTTCTGCCCTGCTGGCGTGTACGAGTATATCGAGGACAAGGACAAGCCACATGGTGTGCGGTTCCAGATCAACGCTCAGAAGTAAGTTGCACACACTCCCCATCCCCCGTACCTCTTTTCCTTCTTCCCAATCCCCTTTGCTTTTCCCTCCTAGTGAGGCTGGCGTGAGGCGGTTGGCGTTTTACCGGTCTGCTAACTCGTTGTCTTCCTATTCTAGCTGTATCCACTGCAAGACGTGTGATATCAAGGTGCCTACCCAGGATATCAACTGGCAGACCCCCCAGGGCGGCGAGGGTCCCAAGTACTCCATCACCTAGGCTAACCTAGGCTAGGTTGCATCCTTTCGTCCTTTTTTTTTTTATTATATATCTGAAAAGAAATAGGATACCACGCATTCAATTATCGTATATACCAGCCATGTACAGAATAGAGCTATCATAAATATAAACAGCAGAATGAATGAATGGGAAAAAAAAAAAGCAAAAGGCCCTCTTTCGTCACCCTCCTTGCCCTTCTCTCCTAGCCATCTTAACCGGAATAACAAAGCAAGCGTCGGGTATCACGACTCTCGTTAACTGCTCACCAACTGCTGCTGGATGCATGTTCTCGCCGTCTTGTGCCTGTGTGATTCTTAATAGTCGGTGGAGCGGAAGCCAGACCACGTGAATGGCTTGAAGGTGCTCAGTCAGCTTTTTAACTTCAGGTTGCCTTCTTTTTCCTCCCCTCTCGCTTCGTCGTCTTCCTTTCTCCCTCCAAACATCAACAACACCACCACCTCCTCCTCCACCACCAAAACCTCCCTCTCTCTGCTCTCACAGGAGACGTTGTCGTTCAATAAGCAAGGCCGTCCTCCTAACCCGCTTGCGCCTCAGGACCTTCACCATGAGCGAAGTTTCCTCCACCCGTCTCTATCTCGGCAATCTGCCCCGTAATGGTACGCTGCTGGTCTTACTCCATCCCATCTCCGTCACCGTCTACCCCTCTTGTACTGGATAAAATGGTATTGGTATTGGCAGACTGTTCTCTATTCCATGCAGACTCGATGAGTCTTGTTGCGTCCGCCTCCAGGACTCGGAGGCAGAGGGGGAACATGGGGAATACCAGCATATAAACAAAGTCACGCCTACATGGAATGGAGGAAACAACATCCAGAGAGAAAAAGGGCCATGCCATATACCATCCATACTGTTGAATGATACTGCTGTTTCTCCCCTCTATGCCCTATCCTGGTTCACAACATATGAGATAATCATCAATCTACTCCGGATCTTGGTGGCCTATACAGCTGACTCAAAGGGGCATCTTTTCTGCCTGGATATTCTCCCTCCAGTCAATAAACAGGACATCGAAGAGCATTTCGGCTCCCACGGCACCGGAAAGATAACTGAGATCAAGCTGATGCAAGGCTTTGGCTTTATCGAATACGAGGATGCTATGGACGCAAAAGATGTCGTTCCTGGTGAGGACACCTCCATGGTCGCGTTTACTTCTCCTGGATCCTTTCATTTTCTTTTCCCCCTTTGTCTTTGTCTACTTTTTTTTCAGTACCCTTGTTTCACCTTCAATCCGTGGAACGACGCCGTGCTAATACTGGAATCCGTCTTTTTGCTCGTTTCCTGCTCTCCAGCTTTCCGTACGTGATACACTCCTGCTTCCACTCCCGTGTGAAGAAAATTGAGACATAAGTTCATTGGTTCCATGCCATGACTTAATACTATAACCAAGAGTCGATTCCCATCTAATGCATTTTAGATGGTACCGACTTCAAAGGTGAACGGCTCACGGTGCAATTTGCGCGTGGGCCACGGCGTAGAGAGCCATTCCCTGGGCCTCCCGAACGGTCTGCTGCTCCTCGTCCACGACGAACAATATACCGTATGCAGATAACTGGATTGCCTGAAACCAGTTGGCAGGTTAGCTAATGCCCGATCCCGCTTCTCCCCTCCATGGACCTAGTGGAAATTCGAAATTTGCCATTTAAGTTCCCTTCATCCCCATGTATCAGCTTTCACCCGTGTTCTTTGTCGAGCTTGTGCTGGATTCGTCTCCTTCCCTCTTGGTTGATTCGTCACGCTTCCAATCTGGAGAGATGGCCAGGTCTGGCTTCAACCTACATTCTCAAATTGGATAAAAAAACGGGACGTGGGAGGCTTATACAGACACCCTCATTTCCAGGACACTAGGACTCACGCATCATACTCTTTTTAGGATCTCAAGGATTTCGCGCGCCAGTCAGGACTCGACGTCGTCTACTCTGAAACCCGTGACCGTGACGGGAAAGGGTTCGCATTTTCCCCTCATAACCTCTACTCTTCTTCCCGAACCAACAACCTTCCTTCTTGCCTCATGGAGAACTGACCAGGCATGACCTATGTTTCAAAAGATTTGTTGAATTCGAAAATGGCAACGACCTCCGGACTGCCGTCGAGAAATTGGATGGCACTGACTTCAAAGGCTCCCGAGTGACCTGCACTGCGGACGTAGGAATTCACCACCCTTCTTCCCGGATTTGATGACATGGATTTCGCAGCTCAACTTTACATTTTTTCTCTCTTATATAGATTCAACCCCCCATGGAGGACCGTGTGCCCAGGGATCCATACCGCTCCCGCTCTCCTCGCCGTGGCCCTCCATATCCGCCAGTTGATGAATATGACAGACGAGGCCCACCCAGGGGCTATAGCCCTCGTGGCCATTACCGTGAGCGCTCTCCTCACGGACGCCGTGACTACTATGACCGTGACGGATACGGGCGCCGCTCGCCTCCTCGCGCGCGTGTAGATGACTACCCGCCACCACGCCGACCATACGATGACCCGTATGACATGCGCGGCGGTGGTCCTCCCCGTCACTATGACGACCCGTACATGCCTCGTGGGGCTCCATTTGGAGGTCGGCCACGCAGCCCACCTCGTGGGGATTATGGAGGCTATGACCGCCGGGGCGGATACTGGTAGACTACTCTCTTCCTTTCCTTCCAGTTTCAGCTTTTTATTTCGTACTTCCCTATCATTTTTGCATGACCCTTCCAGAAGAGGCTCCTTGTTTTTTGCATCGGAAAAAAGAGAGAAGAAGAGAGAGGCTGTTTTACCCCGTCCTCCGTCTTATCCTGATGCTTATTACTCCTTTTTTTCAAAGAGAAACAACAAGAGAGAAAAGGGTAAGAATCTACCACCGACAATAACGTTTACCACCAATACCCGATGACAAAAACGAGCTTTCCTTTCCAACCAAAAATACCAGCTTCAGCCATCCCGCCAGCCAGCGAGCCAGTCAGACCACCAACAAAACCAGAGCCGGTCATATATCTATTGACTTTGACGAAAAAAATACCATATTTTTAACTTTCAAGAAATTGCGACAAAATTCTCACCTGTTAGCTAGACGGATACCCCCTTCCAGATCGTGCCATGCAAGCAAATTCAGCAGCTTTTCGGATCCATCTCCTCGGTAACCGTTTTCTCCCCCCATTTATTTTTCCTTTTCTATTCTTTTCTCCTTGATTTCACTTCCAGTATGCCTTTCACAGCGTGAGTGGTTATCTCGATCTCGTAGCGTTTGGAGGATATCTGCTGTATGGAATAAGCTCGGCCTTCTTCTCTTTTCTCGTCTCATTGGCCATCAGTCTACCCAAATCTCTGTCTCCATGATGATGATGATCAACCCTTAACTCGAACTTCTCGGCCCTCTACTCCCTATAAGCTGACGGCCATATATTTTTTCTGATTTCGTTCTCTTATCCTTTACAATCTGCCTATGTGAATGACGTTTCTGAGTGCTCAAGGTGGTCATTTTGGCAGGGGGGAAATAATATGATGGATGTATTGTCTTTCCAAACTTGCCATGAAACGAGTTTTCCGATGAGCTTTTTTTAGTTTCTGAGAATGTTTTAACTGAAATTCGGAGGTCTTCATGATAGTTATTTTTTATGTATTTAATGCTTTGATAGTTACTTGAACGTGCCCACCAGGAATTGTACTATGTTGAATCCTCTATTTTCATATTTGGTAAATATACGCATAGATCTTTTTTTAAGTCCTTGAGAAAACACTAGCATCGATATAAAGCTTTGTTATAAATACAAAGTTTATCAACCTACAAATATGCCATACAGCAGCAATATATCAAGAACCATGGCTGAATCAGGGTGTGACTACATACAACTGCGCGATGTCCAGCTTCCAGTCCCGGTATACTTGCAAACAGACGCCTGGAGACGGACTAACAAGCCGCAACCAGCGACTTTCTCTGTCCGGATCTCCTACCCCGCTGCTCTGATATCTCTCGCTGCAGAAAACGACACAGTCGGTTACACCCTCAACTATGGGACTCTATACAGGTCAATCGAGTCCGCAATAATATCCAGTAACAAAGATACCATTCCCGATGAGAATGCAGGCGATCCATCCACCCGGCCCTCCTATAGCAAGGACATAGTTGACGTTGCCCTAACAATAAGCGACGCTGCGCATAAAGTCCTCTGGTCAGAAATAGGCGCTACGGAACGTGATCAAGACGACACTATATTTCAGGATCGTTGGTTTACAGAGAAGAAAGAGGAGATAACGGTGGATCTGCATCTTCCCAAAGCCATACTACGTGCTGAACGGGGGTTGTTCTGTACACTTGTTACGCGAAGGAGGCCTGTCAAAGAGGAGGATAATTTTATGGATTTTGACTTGACCGTGAGAATCGAGGGGATACGATGTGCTTGTATCATTGGGGTCAACCCTCACGAGAGAGAGGACAAGCAGATCGTGGAACTCGCATTGACTTTCCGACGGATTAAGGGTAAGACACGTATGATACCGAAAGAGTATCAGACCATGGTCTCCAAGGTAGCTGAGGTGAGTTTTCTCCCATTTGAAGCTGACTCTTGTACATATGATGATACTGATATAAATGCTGCTACTTAAGAGTGTCGATAAAACCTCGTATGAAACGGTTGAAGCACTTGCTACGCATGCGGCGAAGATTGTGCTGGTGGAGTTCCCGCTCGACGAGGTGACGGTTAGAGTCGAGAAGCCCAGCGCCATGGCCTTTGTAGCGTTTTCTGGCCTCGAGATAACGCGCGCTGCCAGCTTCTTTGGCGTCTCTCGTCGGCCTGCATAATAATAATAATACAGTGCAGGGCCTTCAGCCTGGTCTCTTTCCTCTTTCTACTTCTGGCCATTTTTATATCAATGTCATGTGACCTTTAACGGATTAAATACTAGCCGAACTTTGTCTTCAAACTAACCAATCAGCGCGTGACGATTTGATGCATGTGGGTGATTATCTAATCTGATTTTTTGTTGATGCTTCGATCTTTTTTCAACCTCAAAAGGCGAGAAAGAAAGAGATTAACAGAAAGGAGAGACAAACAAACGACTAATTGGATATCTATACATATACTGCACTCTATTGACCACGACTACTACATCTATGGGCCTGTCAAGAAACTCGCTACTTATCGATCCTGTTGTACTTGGCTCCGGCCTAGTATTTGTTGCCGCTTCCACCATCTCAGCCTTGGGTGATAACGTGTGTGCAGTTCCAGTGGCTCCTCGACAGCTCAGCATTCTCGGAACAGAGGTGGATAGGGTGGTTTGGCTACCGGTGAATGGTCCGTCCTGAAAAAGGGCGGACGGTAAACTCGAGGATTAGCAAGCGGAACAGTCAAGTACATTTGCGAATACTTTGAAGATACTCAGGAGTGTGAAAGGGCCATTCACACGGCCCGGAGCCAAAAGGTGAAGATGGCCCTTCAGCATACCCCTTAGTCAAAAGTAGATGCTAATATTTGTTGCTGTGCAGTGACTCCAATCACCGCTAGCCACCATCCACCCTCAGCAGGTCACTGCTGCTGTGGGAGGTATATATATATCTCCTTATCGCCGTGTCAGGCCAGGAGCCGATCCTAAAAAAATAGCCCATTTTCTTCCGGGCTACATGGCGAGACAGGTTCTGGAGAGTGATTTGCTATCTCTGCATCGTGCGGAGAGTAATAATTCTTCCCCACGATGGCAACCTCAGGAGGAATTTGTCGTCTCTGACGTCTTTATGCCCCAGACTCCTGAACCTGAACAGGCCGATGAAGCAGATCTTGGCCAGTCCTGGGCAACTGTCGTTAGCGAGAAACCGAGCACCACGAGCAACTTCCGCATGGTTCCAGGCGATGTGAGCCCTATGAGACCGAACCCTAAAAGTGGAGGCCTTAATCCCGTGAAGAAAAAGAAAAATAAAAAGAAGAAGCTGCCAAAGGATAAAAATGCTGTCTCTCATGTTGTAGAGGCTCCTCAGCCCGGCTGTGAGACGCCACCGGCTTATTTCAAGGACGGTCGTTCCTCCATCTCTCCACGGCTTCGCCCAGTGGGTGCGTTCAAAAACAATTTTGAATCCAGGCCTCCTTCAGCACATGGTATTAGTGCACTTAGCATTCAGTTGGATGCACTCAATGTTGGATCTGCCCGGCCTTCAGGTTCCGAAGCTAGTAAGAAGGGATCAGAAACATCAAGTTGCGGCAGTGTTATCTCGGAAAGTGACCACACTGAGATTCTGACGACATATGAAGTTCCATTGGGAGACGACTTCGTCAGCCTTGACCTTAATAATGAAGGGCCCAAAGCAATGGATGGTTCCGAGAAGAAGGCCATCCTAAACCGCAAGATGACCGCTGCTGACTTTGACTCACTGACCTGTCTTG